GTCAGCAATTTTCTTCCAAGAGTGACGAACTTAATCTCGAGCATCTGCTCCTTTACTGCTCTGAGTCCTTTGCACTGTGAGGAGAGTTCATATTGCAGGTTTTTCCTGGTCAAGCTCAGACCAGTGATGCCCACAAGCTGCATCAGCTTTTGGAAATATTTTGTGCCACATTTCATGGTTGTCCCTGGACATTTTGTTAGTGTTGGCAAATGTGAAAAAAAACCCCACCTGGTTTCATGGTTAAAAGCACCAAGACACTGTCTCTGTCAGAGGAATACCATCCTGTATTGGTTATGGAAATGTGCTGTTAGTATGTCATTCTCTGTCATGTTTTTTTACCAAAATTAGCAAACATTGCATATTCCATGTTTCTTGTGAAAACTGTTTGGAGATTTATGGTAAGGCATTTCCAAGTAGCTGCAAGTCCATTTCTTCTCCATCTGTTATTCAAATAACACAGATCTAGAAATGCCACAGAGGCCCTTCTCCTCACCAGCTCCCCCATAGTTCCTGAAGATGTACAGATGTCTTTGCACAGCTTTGTTTCTCACTCTCAGAGATCTCCAAACAGCTGAGAATAAATGATTTTTCTCCTCTAAGGACATGCTTTCTTGAGTAGCTCAAGAAGCTCGACAGGACTGCAATTATTTCCCTTGCACATGATTGCCTCTAGAGATACTAGGTTGGAGGGTTGTCTCCTCTGCAATATTTATATTGTATGTTTACATTCAGCATCTTAACACCCTGATATTTATTTTTATTTCAGTTGATCTCACATCCCACCCTTATGCCTAACTTAGTGTGGACAAAAGTGGGCCTCAGATTGGGATTAAAGAAATTTATTCCAGGTAAGATGCAAGTGACAATAATGGCTTGGTGGGATGGAGAGCAGCAATGGGAGTGTAGAAGATGACAGAGATCAGAAGAGTGGGGAAACCCATTAATTTTTCAAAGTGAGAATCAAAGGCCATCACTGCATTTCCAGCTCTTAACAGATGAATCAGTAAGTGTGAGATCAGCCTTGCTTTTCCCTGTATCTGCCTAGGAAAGGGCATTCCTTTGGCATGCAGTTTCCACTGCTCCCCTCCTTGCCTGTCTGTGAGCACAACATAATTGAACCTATAATGTCTTATTGCACAGGCAGAAGAATAATCACTCATTCTTTATAGATGGAGAGGAGGGGAGAGAGATATGTATAATTATCACACATGCCTCGTATGCATTTATGTGTACAAGCATATGCTCTGAAAATGTAAACCTTCATTAAAGGAAAAACTGAAGATGACAAACTTGTCATGTAAAAATTAAAATACAGGGGAAAGACTAATTCAATAAGCTGTCCCCACTTAGAAAATCAAGATGCTACTGTGAGTTCTGCTAATTTTTCCAATGCCATTTGGATGCTTTGCCAATAAATAATCTTACAGTGCCAAAATAAATCACTGTGTTACGAAGAGCCCTCATCTGTGATCAAAATCATTCTATTTACCCTGGAGACACATATCTATGAAAAATTTAGGAGGTCATCAATCGTGGTTTCTCTTTCCAATGTTTATAAAGTTGTATCTTTGGATAAGAACATTTCCAGTCTTCTTGCCATGATTGAAAACAGATCTGAGGTCTCGTATGTTTACAGACAGGATCACTGTGCTTAGGTAGACTGCATCTCATCCCTAATTTTTTGAAGTTATATAAAATAACTGTTCTCGATCTGTCTCTGTTATTTGTAGCTACCTGGTAAAGTGATGAAAAGAGATCTCAATATTCATGAGAATTAGGCTCTAGGTTTAAATATATAGCACGTAATTGTATAGCATAAGGCCACTGAAGAACAATGCCAGATGCATTCTTTTCATGTCAAGTGCTCTGAAATTGTGCATAGTCAGAAAATTCAGATCTGTATTCTGCACAAAATCTTACATGGTCACATGTAATTTGCTATTTTCCCATTGTACATTTGCTGTTTGTTAATGGTATGAGAATCACTTGATAACAGTGTAGCCGCCAATGTGACTTACCGTTAAACTGTCAGACATTTTCCTGGAAACCAAAACATCATCATGAAATTCAAATAAACATTTCACAAGGATCATCACACAGGAGGTATCACATTAAGCCTATTGTAAAAAGAATTCTCTGAGGTGTGTTTTGCAGGCAATTGCTTCCCAAATAGTTTTCCATTAGTGTTGAGATTCAAGCTACAAAAAGTGCCTTTAGTTCAGTTCCTAACCTTGATTAGGGAAATATCTGGATAAGAACTCCAAAAGTGCCTTTCTTTGTCACCCTCACAGGAAATGTCAACCCTTATTTGGTTTACTTTGGGTCTAATGATCTCTTGATTCATGAACAAAACTCTTCACCCTGGTTGTTAGAAATCACATGGTCTAATTGGAACAGGAGGGTGGGATCAGTGCCCTGAGCATGGATAGAGCAGAGATATTCACCATAGACCATGCAAGCTCACATATTTATTCACAGGGTTACTTATAGATAGATATATGCTAATATCATATGTCCAAGGAAGAGGCAGTTTTCGTAAAACCGTGGATTTTTGTTTGTGTACAAAGGACATTTTATCATGCTCTAGTGCATCCCTAGGGCAGTGACTGGGGAGCACAAAAGCAGTAGCTTCAGCTGCTTCCAGGTCAAGATGTAGCTCTTGCTTCCTTATTTGAGTCTTTTGCCTCCCTTCCACATGAAAAAAAAAGAACTCAGAAAATCCCCCTAGGAATCAGCATTGCTCATTAGCCATGAAATCTGCTCATTTCCTGAAAAGTTCGTAGCGCAGTGTCTGGGTATTGCAGGTCAAAGAAAGATTAAACAGCCAATTTATTTTAGAAATTGAGAAAGAGAAAAGTGAGCTTGACCTATTAGTCAGTTTTTCTCTTCCACAAAACTATTAGGTAAGTCTAATAAGTCTAGGTAAAGTACATGAATTCATTAAAGTTTCTGAAGAATAGAATGGACCCCTTTTTAATTTTTCTTTTCTTGTTCTTTCAAAAAAAGGAAATCCCTGTAATTTGATAGGTCAAGTTATGATTACATCCACTTTGGTAAAATGTTGAATTAGAGAACAGAGACTTTTAATTCAAACTTATACTTCACAGGGACTCCTGGATGATAGAAATTGATTTCTCAGGAAGTTGGGAGTTCTCAGGATTTCTGTGAGACATGAGCTTCATTAACATCTGTAGGATTGGCAAGCCTGGTTTGATATATATAACCTTTGCTCCATTGTCACTATGGTAAACAGAAACAACATAATGAAAAAAAACCACAAGAAAACAATTTTTCTTCAAGAGTTTTCAGAGTTCACACATCAAAACGAAGGATCAAAGCTGCAGCATGAAAATCTGATGGTATGGGTTCCCAGAGCTGCTAAACATTTTTATTTCTGCCAGCCTTTGATAGGCAGAATGAGAAGCATTCTCATCACTCATACTTGTGGTCTCAGCAGAGATGCCCACATCAGGTGTTGGTACTGCATGAAGTCCCTTGCTGGGCTTTTCCAAACCACTGTTTTTCTCAACCACCCTGTCAAAGCAGCCCGTGTTGACTAGAGGGATCCTCAGGTCACTGGGTTACAATCTTTCCTGTTTATGTGCAGTCTTATAGACAAAGAGTAGACACCTCCAGAATGTGGAAGAGTCTCATTCCTCTGGGGAATACTTTGTGTTCTGAGCAGCATTTCCAGTTAACAGGGAGGCCTGGTATTAATCACACCTTTATTTAGAGTACAAAGGTCCAGGTCCTCCTTGGATCCACAGTTATATGTCAATGTCTCCTTCTAGGGGAGATTTACCACTGTCACCTTAATGGTAGCATCCTGGAGCAAGCAGAGGTGTGGTACCGAGGAGCTTATTCCAGCTCCTGAGTACTCACTTCTTTATCAAAAGAAACACTGTTAACTCTGTCCAGACTACATGATTTAGGCTATGATACCATGCACCATGATAACATGGGGTCTGAGGGACCACCAAGGTTAACTGAGAAGCCTCATGCACAGCTCACCTTGGAGAAATAAGAAGGAACAACCACGAAAGGGAAGATAACCTAAGCAGTTATCTGAGCTGAATGCCAGCAGCAGAGCAAAGCTGTCGCAGGGGAAGGATGCAGGCAGGGATGTGCTGCTAGCGAGACTGGCTTATTTCCAGTAAAGGCATTCGCCTGTCACAGCAGCCAGCCCAGCGGCACCAGCCTGCTGCCCTGTGCCGGCAGCCCGTCTGCAAGCACACACACGCCAGACCTGGGGTGTGCTTACTCGGCCAGACGCTTCTCAGCTTCGTGCATTCCTCGTTTCTGGTCCCAGCGGGCCGGGGCTGCTTGAGCAGTGGTATGGGGAGGGCAGAGCTGGGGGAAAAACTTGCCCGGGTACGGGAGGCAACCTGCTCCCCGCATCCCGCTCGCCCCCAGCCCCTGCCCCGCTCTCCCTCCCGGCGGTGCCACTCGCAGTGGAGACCAGCTCTCTCTGCCGTAGGGGAAAGGGGAGGGGAGGCAGAAGTGAAAACCGGCATTCACAGCCTTAGGTCCGCGCCCGCATCTCGCATCCACGTCCAGAGCCTCATCCCGCGTCCACACCCGCATCCCCAGCCGCCGCCGGGACGCGCCCTCGCCCAGGCGGTGCGGGGCGGCCCCGGGAGCGCGGAGTTGCAGCGGGAGGGGGTGTGGTGGGGAAATGTCGGGGAGAAGCCGCCCGGCCGCCGCACAACCCCCGGCACCGGGCAGATCCGGGAGGCGCCGCGGAGTGGGAGAGGGGGGCGGGAGCTGTTCGCCGGGGCGGGGGCTGTCACGGGGCTGGGACCATAAAACCGGGGGTAATTGCATTTAGGCAAATGAGCTTGCCTCGGCCCTCCCCGTCTCCAGGTATATAAAGTGGGGAGCGCTCCTGCGGCCGGCCAATGTGCTCGGAGAGCAGCTCCCGTCCTCCACACTGCTGACGGTGCGTGCGCCTCCGGGAGTCCCTCCGTGCCTGAGAGGGTGCGCTTGTCCGTGTGGTTGTGAGGAGTGTGCGTGGGTACTTCTTTGTGTGTGCAGGGGAGTCTGCATGTGTGTACTTCTACGGGTTGGGTGCCTATACCTGCTTGTGTGTCTCTGAATGTGCCAGCGTGTTTTAGTGCCTGTCCTGATGCGCGAAGGAATGAGGGTGTACCTCTGGACAGCCGTGTGTGTGCGTGTAGAGAGCTGCAGCCCTACGTAGGTGTGAGCATCTAAGGTGTGTAGCTATTTCTGTGAGTTTTTAAGTGGATGCGTGTGTACCTGGATGTGTGTATGAGGGGGATGTACGTGGCTGGGTGAGTATATGTGGCAAGGTGTGAATACCTGGATGTACATCGACGTGTGAGGGTGTGTTTATGTATAACCCTGTATGTCCGTGTGTGGAGGGGTACCTCTGGCTGTGCGTGTGTGTGTCTGTGCGCTGGTGTGCACACCGACCTGCGTGCCAGTCTATTATGTGTGGGGCGTGCGTGTGTCCAGAGGTGTCTGTAGCAGTGGCAGGGAAGGGAGGGTGGTGTAACTCGGCACCTGTGGAGTCTGTAAGTGCGAGGTAGCGTGTCCCCAGGTGTGCCCCGGAGGCAGCTGTGAGTGTGTGTGCAGGGCTGTGCGTGCTCGCCCCGCCGAGGCTCGGGGTGCCGGTGCTCCAACCTCTGCCCCCGCAGGACGTCGAGGCGGCGATGAGGCTCCCGCTGGCTTTCGCCGTGCTCCTCCTGGCCTCGGCGCAGGCGCTGGCCGAGGAGATGGGAGCCAGCGACGACCTCAGCTACTGGTCCGACTGGTCCGACAGTGACCAGGCGAAGGTGAGCCCTGGCGGCCCCGCGGGGTGCGGAAGCGAGGGGCTCGGTGCCGGGCACTGCCTGGGCAAAATGGGGTGGGGGGTTCGCGCTGAGCGCCGCCCGCTGTCGCCCCGCAGGAGGAGCTGCCGCTGCCCCTGGAGCACTTCCTGCAGAGGATGGCCCGGAGACCCCGGCCCCAGCAGTTCTTCGGCCTCATGGGCAAGCGGGATGCCGGTGAGCGGGGTGGGGGGCTGGCTGCTGCTCACGCCTCTCCACTCGCCCCTTCTCCTGCTGCCTCCCCAAACTCCACAGCGATTATCGCTCGGGTTTAGTGTGTTACGCCTTTTTCAAAAGCTGCCATGCGGAGGGGTTGGTGGGGTTTTTTTAATGTTTGTTTGATTGTTTATTTCAATTTTTATATCAGATAAACTCACCAGTTGGAAAAGAGAGGGCTATCTCATTAAAGTGCCAAGTGCACACAAATTACAGCAAGCAAATCCTGGTGAGGAATGTCATGACAATTCATGGGATAATTCACGCATGCTACTGAATTGCCCATGTGGGGAAATTTGTTGTATGTACAATTATTACCGTGTTTTCTACATGTTTACTGATCCAAGAACTGATCTAAGAAATTGGAGCTAAACTTATCTAAATTATGTGGGCTTAGCTAAAACAAGTTTTTGTAGTCTCTTTGAAGAGAAATGCAATTGTAAACCATCATTTTAATTTCCCTTAAGAGGAATATGTGTAGGGTAGTTTTTGTATTTGATTTTTCAAAACATTTCAGTAGTATCATATGTACATGCCAATCCTTTTTCAACAGCGCTTTTTCCATTTTTTCTCTTTCCTTTTGTCTTCCAATCAGGATATGGCCAGATCTCTCACAAAAGTAAGTTTTTAAAAAATGCAAATAAGTAATTATTAGAAGATATTAAATAGGGAATAGTGTATTTGACGGGATTATTTAGGAGGTGACTGGTTTCTGCCAAGGACTGGCAGCACTGCTGGTGAAGAAATGTTGTGTTAAAGGATTGAAACCTCCGCCCCAGTGCCGCTGTGAGCCTGTATCTCATCTGAGCTGCTGCAAGCTTTGAAATTTCAATCCGTATTAATGTGCGGATGTTGCAGCTCTCACTTATTTCCCTAGGGGGAGATTCTGTAAGCCTTTCTTATAGTCAAGGCAGGCTTACTGCCAGACTCAGAGAGGAGCAATTAAGATGACAAAATCTGGAAAATTAGAGTATTGAATTTCCAAATCCCCAAGAATGCTTTCACAGAGAGCCCAAGTCTTCACATGCAAGATACTGTATCTGTGCTCTCAGCATTGTCTGGCTGGGAATCAGACCCCTGCTCACAGTAGGGGCTGATTGATGATGTGCCACCATATGAACAAGCCTATCTTGCCCTATTAATAGTGTGCCTTGCTCTGCTTCTGTGTAACACCAAGCAGGAGATGGTATCAGCACTGTGGTGTTATTTTGTTCTGCACAGTGACAGTTTTATCCTCTGAATTTATCTGAAGATGTTTAAACAGAAGCTACAAGACTTTTAGTAAGTAAAAATGATCTTGTATTCCATGACACCTCCTCTGTCCACAGAGGTCAACAACTGTCCCAGTGTTCTGTTATCCACAAGATGCTTTCACTAAGGTTATGTCTCTGAAGACCAATAAGGAGTTTGATACAAAGCTCATGCCAAATAACCTGCTGACAAAAGTAAAAAGATTATAGCTTTCTGAAACTGCTTCAGCTTGAATTAATACATGTGAGGTCTGAGGATCTTGTTTTGTGGATGAATTAGCCAAGCAAAATTCTTTTCAAAGAGAAATTTCTAAGTTTGCCTCAAAAGTCAGTTTAGATAAGGAATGAAAATGAGCCATTCTCCTTTATCTGAAACTATAGCTACTATATCTTGATATATGCTATAGGCCAAAACTTGGAGTAATTTATCCTCTGCACATCCAATGCCTTGAGAAGCACTAATGGGACAGGAGGCTAATACCTGAACTCATAAATATTCCAAATACAAAGTCGGACTGTCTAGCTCAGACGTGTCCAGACACAGAGTCCCATTGGCTTCATCTCCAGTAAGGGCTCTGCCTGACCTGTGAGGGAAATTTTTCTTCCACGTTACAGAAATAAAACAACAACAGGTAGAAGAGATGCCTCACACAAATGCAGGCTATACCAAGACACTGCCTTCTTGTGCATTTTCTCAAATCAGTAGGAATTGTACTGGGAGAGAAATAAGAATCCTTTAGTGGCAATTTGTTTTTCCGTTATACTTAAAAAAACAATCCCGCAAAACAAAAAGTCTATCTAAACTAATGAGAAGGTGTCCACTAACTGGCCCGTGCCTTGGTCTAACCTGGTAAGTCTGATTAGTCAGGCCGACGTTCATTCTCTGTTGTCTGAGATATGGATGTGAAGAACTGGTCTGTGAGATAAAGAGTTTTGGAGCCTGTCTTCCTGCCTCGCGAGAACACGTTATCTCAGAAGCCTGCTTAGTTAAAATGTATTAAAACACCCCTAAATATATTTTTTCAGGGCATAAAACAGACTCCTTTGTTGGACTTATGGGCAAAAGATCTTTAAATTCTGGTATGTATATGACTAAATCTGATACTTGGTGATATACAGCCTCTTCGTTCCGTTGCCTCTTCGTTCTCTCCCAGCGGATGGAAGAAGCAATCTTTATGTAGTGTAGACTCAGAGTTCTCTGAAAAAGACCCAGGATTTTCTTTGTTACCCAAGATATTTCAGAGTTTGCTTCACTCCAATGCTTGAGATAATCAGGCTAGTTTGAGCTGCCAGTAAGCTCAAGTAGAAGTCCCTAGGACACTTTCGTTACTACCCTCTCCTTGCACGTTCTGCTGGTCCCCAAAGTACTAAGACAAGAAAAAAAATCTAAATTTTACTGACATGTCAAGAAAAATTCAGAGGCTGAAAATGTAAAGTTCATTTAAACTTGTGGTCCAAATCCAGATCTCATCAGGTAATGGAATGTCCTCATCGTCTCTGGAGATCATTATTCCTAAAACCTAGAGCAGAAGGTGGAAGAACAGCACCTCAATCTGCAGATCAGGCAGTTAAACACTCCCAGCCTCTTCCAGCTTTTCACTTTACCCAAAGCATTTTAAGCTTTGAACGGATACTGTGAATTTGTGTTATTTTCCCATAACATCCATATGGGGCACGATTCTCCTCTCCCCTAATGTGCAGAACCCCTGTGGGTATCTGCAGATTGCCTGTAGCTCTACCTTCCCTGTGCTATAGAGCTGTACTGAGGAAATTCCTCTGTGTGAACCAAAGTATCAGTTGATTCTCCAGAATGGGAAGTAAAAAAAATAAAAACCCTAATATGTATTTCACATCTCTGAAATAGTTCCCACTGTTTTGTTAAATGGATGATAAAAGTTAAATTACTAGCTGACACCTTTATATTATGTGGATACATGCTGTGATCTATATTCTGCAATTATGGTTGTCAGTAACTTTTATTTTCAATTAAACCACATTTAAGACTAGTAATATTGCTCTCTGCATCATTTTACAAATTGCTATGTATCATGAATAATTTCATACAATTTTATCTGTGGTGGCAATAGCTGTTAAATGCATAATACCTGTAAATATATCTGCTATCACAAAAGTAAATAGCCTGGAAGTAATAAAGTGGGTTTGGTTTCCATTGGGATTACATTTACATTCATATGAGACTGTGAAGTACAGAAAATGTTTTAAAAAATGCAAAGATTTTGTTGCCCTAATTTCAAATTGCTAGTAGTCAGGCTACTGTTATGTGGTATTTTTAACAAAGGGGAATAATGAAGTTTTACCTTGTTGGGCTATGTAATACTTGCCTGACAGGCAAAACTAGAATTCACTGCTTTTCTGCCTGATTCCTTGGGAGGGAAAGGGTAAAAAGTTGCTTCTGCTCCTCAGGAGGAGCAGATAGGTCCTAAGGACTGTGTAATCAAAGCAAGATCAGAGTAGTAAATGTTAGGAGTATCTTTACTTCTCCCTACTGGAAGATATTTAACTGGGCAGGACCTTTACCTGGTGCTATGGTTTTCTTCTGCAGAAAGCCCCTGAGAACTCTGGCAATGTGCAGGAGTTCACCCCGTCCTGCTGAGTGTGAGTGTGATGCTGATTTAAAGCCTCATGTGACAAAGCAGGGTGCCTGGATGCTGATGTCTCACTCCCTGTTTTGGGGACAGACCTGGCCAAGAAGGGCTCTCCGGGGTTCACTCTCATTTTAAAAGAGCAAGAAGGAGAGATCTACCACTACTAAACACAAAATATGTTACTGAAGACTATTTTAGGCTGCAGCTAGTCCACAGGAGGTCTGAGTCAGTCTGAGGAGCTTGACTTTTGCCACAGTCTTTAGTAAAAGTTAACCCTGTGTGCAAAGCTTGGGGACAGGGAGGGTTTAAATGTGACAAAGAGCTGACTGTGCAGGAACGAAGGTGGACTTGTCTGTGCAGAAAGCCTCTACCCACAAATTGACCTGAATGCTCAGATCCCATAAATTAGATGGATTACTGGGAGGTAAATGGGCTCTGAATTAATGGTGCTGTCAGGGGTGCGACAGGTGCTTCAAGCAGCTCAACAGACAAGAGGTAGAGAACACTGCTCAGACCTTCAGCCTGTGGGAGGACAGTGTAGTCTGAGAGGTAAAACCAAATCAAAGCAGCTCAGGGTTGGGCAGGGAGGCCTTGTCTCTGTTTCAAACATGCCACTGGGGTCCAGCAGTGACCCAACTGGCTGCAGATCTCTGACATTTCTTGTGCTTGCAGGTGTTTATGCAAGGTGTGCTTCATTCTGTTTCATTTTTTGCAGGGTCCTCTGAAGGGAGCATAGCACAGAATTATGAACGGAGGCGTAAATGAGACATTCCCGTGCATTATTTATTAAACTTCATTTGTTCTGATGGCCAATGCAGTGTAATATAAACTAATCACTGTATGGAATAATTATTTATTTAACAACTGATGGGGTTTGGGGTTTTTTGAGTTGTACGTTCAATAAAATTATTATTTTTCATATTGTGGCAGTGATACATGTTGTGTAGGGGTGTTGTGGTTCTGAAAGGACCAGCAACCCTGGTGGTGTCTCACAACAAAGCACATCATTTGATATGACCCATAAAGTTATGTTTACTAAACCAAGCAAATATTCTTTTGTTCATTGAAAGCGAGTCTATCAGCTTCACAGCCAGTGCAGAACAGAGCTCATGTTCAGTCTAGTGCCTCAATTTGTTTTCATGGTTTATAATGTACTGTAATTTCTGTATCAAAAAATATATTTGTATCATTACAGCATGTTTTATGTTCTGTGACTACGTATCTATATATTTTAAAAAGGGGGGTGGGTAATGTTTGAATGGGAATACAAGGTCTTCATTTCATAGTCTGGAATTTTATGACAGCAACATTTTAAATAAAAACTATTCTGGGGCTTTTGCAACATAATTCCTTTGGTGATAGTAATAGAGTTATTTCCCACGTTGGTCTGGAATGAGATTTAGATCCAAGCAAGAGTGATCTAAGACTGGAAAGAAATATCAAATTAATGATTTCTTTTTGCAGGGAGGCTGTGAGCTTCCTCATGTGTGTTTGGTGAATGTTTGGAGGATATGCTACTGGAGACAGGAATTCCTGAGATTGCTCCAGGTCACACAAAGTGCCATCCATCCTAAACCTGATGGAAATCAAGAAACATGTTGTCTGAATGAAAAGGGTGTGGTGTACCCCATCCCCCCCCCCCAGCTCCAAGTGGAATAATTTGCTATGGAATTCATCCAGTATTGTAGGTTTATTATTTAAAGCTAAGCTTTTAAGAAATTCTAGCCTTCAGATTCACAATGAAAGCACCTGTTGGCTTGAATCCATGCAATATAAGAGAAAGAAAAAGTGAATGTAATTATCTTTATAATTAAACTCTCTGGTTACTATATATCCAGGACTGTCCTGAAATACTACATATACTCACCAGATGCCAGGGCATCTGGAGACCTATTTTCTTTCCCCCTGCTAAAAGCTATACTTCTCTTTTTGATGCTATAATGATGTGAGCTTTCATTGCAGATGAATCAGCAATGAAAACAAACAATATATGCAAACCAAATTTCAAAATAAGTAATACAAAGGGACTCACTGATTGTTTTTTTCCATTTTGGAAGTGAACTCAGCAACCTCCATTTTCAAGGTTACCTAAGGCATCAGCAGAACTGCCCCCATTATGAGTGGGTGGGTGCAGGACCTCTCTCCTGCTAGGTTAGAAGCAGCACCTGAGCCTGCCCATGTTTCAAACAGATCCCACTTTCAGCTAAGTAGGAGGCGATCCAGGAAGGTGGGGGGCTGTATGGTAGGAAAACTGAAGCTGAGTTACAACAGGGACTACACTCTTGTGAGACACAGTGGTTGTACTGACACTCTGCCAGCTCTTCGTCTTGCCAGTGCTAATTTTCAGACTAATAAACTTCTGTATGAGCTCCCACTGTGAAGAGGGGAAGCTGACTGACTAACAGCATGGCAAAAGGACTGTGGAAATGGATGTTGAATAATGGTCAGTGAAGGGTAAAAAGAGAAAAAACTTTCAAATGCTGTTCCTCTAGCCCAGGAGCCTACAGTGCTCACAGAGCTCACAGCCCATGTGCCCTGAATTGTGAGATGCAGAGAGTAAAGTGAAAGCCCCAATGTTTGCTCCCTGCAGCCTGCACATCTCACAAACCTCCTTGCAGAGGCAACCACTGCAAACATATTTGCATCCAGAGAAAGCCACAAAGGGTTGGTTTTAAATGTTTGGAGGACAGCACAAGTACTATTTAATGGCATCCAGTAAATAGATAGGACTGCCTTTTCTGGAAAAAACATAGAATGGTTTGGGTTGGAAGACACCTTTAAAGATCACCTAGCCTAACCCTCTGCCATTGGCAGGGACATTTTTCACTAGATGGGTTTGCTCAGAACTCCAACAAACTGACACTGAACACTTCCAGGGATGAGACAGACACAACTTCTCTGAGCAACTTGTTGCAGAATCTCACCACTCTCATTGTAAAAAATTCCTTCCTTACAATCGATCTAAATATACCCTCTTTCAGTTTAAATATCTGATCATCTTCATGGCCCTCTTCTGGACTTGTTCCAACAGATCCATGCCCTTCCTGTGCTGGGGACCCCAAAGCTGGATGCAGTACTCTATGTGGGGTCTCATCAGAATAGAGTGCAGGGACGGAATGACCTCCCTCAACCTGCTGCCCACACTGCTTTTGATGCGGCCCAGGACGTGGCTGTCTTTCTGGGCTGTGAGCTGCATCATGTTGTTTCACATCCACAAACAACCCCAAGTCCTTTTACTCAAGGATGCTCTCAATCCATTCTCTGCCCAGCCTGTATCTGTGCTTGGGATTGCCCTGATGTTGCACTTGGCCTTGTTGTACTTCATGAAGTTCATGTAGCCTCACTCCTTGTGCCTGTAAAAATTGTTATTGGTGGCATCTCTTCCCTCAAGCGTGTCATGGCACTACTACCATTGTTCCACTGCCAAGGCCGAGCCTCTGGCACCAAAGCAGTCTCCTTTTACTTGTCATTCTGATCAGTGGTTTTAATCTGGCATTTGGAAACAATTCAGTTTAATTTCTGGTGGTAAAATAATGTCAGATTTGTGCTAATTTGAGTTTTGAACTCAAAGTAAGGTTGAAATTGGCATTGATTTATATGTTTGTATAGATATTTATTCCAAGTTAGAAATAAACCAAATACACCAAGAGGCACAGTCTGAAACATTCCAACTGACTCTATCAACAATACAAAAAAAGCCCCTTATCACATTTCAGCGCTGGCAGAGACCGCTCAGTCAAACTGTGCCATGCTGGGGCTGTGGGGCTGTGCCTGCCCAGAGTGTCTAGGGTAGATGGGGAGATGCATGAATGACTCATCTGCAGGCATCCAGCTCAGCAGCTGCCTGTCCCTACCATGGGCTCGCTCCAAACATTTGTCCTCACAGGCATCCTGGGATACTGGAGACTCACACAGGAATTCTTATTCTTACATCTTTTATCTGCCTTTAGTCTTAAGCAATATAGTCTATACGTTACTGAGTAATTCAAAGGGACTTTAAAATAATTTCCATAGTCTTTAATCTCCCTTTTTAAGGCTCGTTCAGCTTTTAAACACTTTTATGTGTTGGACAGCATTGTTTGCAGCCCTGGGCCACTGGGCCACTTGTGCTTTCGATCACTGGGCAAGGCCAGCTTTCCAGAGCCATTTCAGGTTTTGGAGAGGCTTTCACTAAATCCTCTGCTGCCTCCACAACAGCCAACCACAACCGTGACACAGACTTAGCTCTTTATGATGGCAAGTCTGACACTCCTCAGGTTGCAAAAGCTAATCAATAACACTGCAGCAAGGGCATCTGTCAGCAAAATGCAAGTGAGCTTTAAATAAAACAATAAAAATATTCCTAGGAAATCAGCATGAAGAGTAAACTCTGGGTGATGCTGGTAATGGACGCCACTGGGGAGGTGCTACAAGCAGTTTGCCTGCAGCCCACCTCCAACATTCTCAGCCCCCTTTTTGTTTCTTTTTTTCCCCCAGAAACACATCATTCATCTGCATCTTGACAGGTGGCTGCTCTTCTGGTAGGCACTGTCTCCCTCACACACACAAACTTCCCTTCCCTTGGATGGGGATGCTGAAGTCAAGATCTCAGCAGTCTGCCTTGCCCAAGCATGACCCTGAGGACATAATCTCCATCCAGCATCTCCATCTCTCTGCTGTTGCACACAGGTTGGTCATCCCTGGCAGCCAAACTTACCCTGGGAAGCCAGAGTCATTGCACACATACCCTGTTCATGAACAGGGGAGCTGGGAGGGGAGTTTGGTCCCGCTTTATGCACTTTACCAGGGGAACTCAGGTTCTGCAGCACTTGCAAATCCTTCGCTGTATTCACGTCAGGAATCTGGAGTTTTTCATCATGATCCTAACCAAAAGAAAAGGAAGAATCTGGAAATGTTTAGGTGCAGAGATTGTGCAGGAACCCAGCCCCCAGTCATCATTAGCTAGAGCAGAATAACACCAGGAGATTTTTGTAAATTATTAAAGTGATTCTTTAAAAATCTATTTATTCAGAGTACGTCAGTAGCAGCTCCTTCAGAGCTACCAAGAGCCATTATTTAAATGCAGACTTTGTCCCTTAAAATATGGCTCTTAAACTATGGCTTAGATAACTGCTTTAGCATTAAGAGATACCGAGCAAGTCCCAGTGCAAACTTTGGTAATGACAAAATTTTCTTCTGATGAGCCCAAACAGTTCCCTTAGCCAGAATATCGCAGACTGCATTAGCAAACATCTCCCAGAGTGACAGGACAAAAGCACACAGCAGCTCCTTCCCTAGAGCTGTATTGTGTCAGGATGCAGATACCTGCTCTTCCAGATACACCCTCGTGTCCTCATATATCTCCAAAATAACTCACCTTTGCAGAAAATAGTCATTACTGGAAGAGTAGGGATTTTTAAAATTTGTTTTCGCTGTTAGCCAGAGTACAAATATCCTCAAACTACATCTTTCAGGGAAGACAAACACTCTTCACATTATTCTTTTAATGGTTCTGATAGAGCATAGACTAAAACATTTGTCAACGGAAGAAGCTGTATGAAATTCATTATGACATTAATTAAAAATTATCACTGCTCCATCCCTGATAGATATCTGGTTTCCATCAGAATAAAAGAGCAACTCTCCAGCTCAGAAGCTCCTTTTTAAAGAGAGGTACGCAGAGCATGTGCAACAAACATCACCTCTTGTTTTCTCATCCATCTCTGAATTAAACAAGGTCACCACTTACTGCATATAGAAGAAATGAAATGTGAACAGACTGTTAAACAACAAAACACTTCATCTGTCATGGTGCTTGATGCTCTCCCAGAAGCCCAGAGGGAGGTCAAGGCGAGATGGCTTGGCCAGAGGTAACCACAGTTGTTGAGCTAGAAATGCAATGCACACCCTGTACCTAACCAGCCACTTCTGCAAGGTGCTACCTAAGTGCAAAGGAATTTAGGAAATTAAAAAAGAGAACACTGAATGTTTACAAAAACTCCTGCAAATTAAAAAAAAAACCAAAACAAAAGAAGCCTTTCTTTTCCTATCTAAACCTTTTCTCACATTGTTATTTCAGAAGCATAGCTGTAAAAGATTTAAGAGTGTAAGATGTGCACCAACACATCATAGAAGACCCATAAGATCATCAAGTTCCAATCATATGTTAACCATTACGTTTACATTGGAGACACCATGTGAAGGCAAGAGAGGGCAGAGTTGTGTGAAGTAGGTAAAGAGCTGCATAAATTCATGCCGTATATTCTCATCCAGAGCTTGAGTGCCTCGGTGCCAATATATGCTGATACAATTTTAAAATTGTTTTCTACATGAACTAGTTTGCATTGAAAACATCTAGCTGGGTAACAGAAGAAAACTTTAATCACAGACATTCGATTTTGGCACATAGAAGTGCATTTATTTTCACTGTTTTAACACTCAGGCAACAATAGGCATATTGTATTTCTGTGTACCAAAGCATTAAAATTCAAGCAATACCCTCTGGAAGCAAATTTTGCTTGGAGAATATACACATTAATTATAATAATGGCCAGTCTTCGCGAGCGAAGATCCGGGGAAGGTCTTTCCACCTTCCAGCCTGTGCATTGGATTTTTTAGGTGAGACACAGTGTGCGCGGAACTGAGCCCACCCTTTAATCCTAAGGTTCATCTGCCGGGGCCAAGCGAGCTTGGACAGTGGCAGCAAGGTCCTTAGGACGTAGGTGGGTTGCCTTTAAGGGCTAACGAGCCCCACCTGCCCGGGAGTGTGTGGCCCTGACCGGGAATCGAACCCGGGTCTCCGCGGTGATAGCGCGGCGCCTTTACCCCTAGACCACCAGGGGCTCCTACACATTAATTACTGAAGGAATATATACATATGGTGTAGCTACTGCAAGACTGCATTTAAAAAATGTTTATAATTCAGTGAATTTTAAAGCAGTGAATTATGATTCCCAAAAGACGTAAGAGCTGTTTTGTGAGACCTGAGCATTTACAGCTTGGATTCCCATCGTGTCAATTCAGCCCAGGCAAGGCCTGCACCATGTGGGCATGAGTGAGACCAGCCCAGGGCACCAGCAGTCACCAAAATTGTACACAGGCACAAGACAGCACTTTGGAACCGTTTCTTGAAATATAACATAATGAATTCTGATGTCTACAGATAGCAATCTGTTTATCCACAGCACATCTTCCCCACACTTCCTTGCCAACCCAATTCCATCTCTAGGAAACAATCAAACCTTCCTGCCCTGCCCTCCCAGGCTGCCAAAGGAGTTCCAATTAGTGTCAATTGAGATAATAGTTCCATTTGCATTTTTAAGCTATTATTAGCAAGTTGTCAGTCAGCCAGTAATTTGTATCCTTTTGGTATAATGAGTATTTCAATATTTAAAAAGACAACGTTCCTTTCTACCACCCCCTTCCTTTTTGTGCTAAAATAATAATAATGGTTTTAATCAAAAGTAATTTGTATTAATATACATTTTGCCCCAGGTGTTAAAGGCAGTCTTCAAGAGCAGTGGTGAGAGATGTTAAGTAATACAGTTATTAATATAGACAATTACTTCTATCCTTAATAGTAGCAGGAAGGCTGCTTTTGCAACCAGATCATTGTGAGTCTCCTCTTGGTCTCTGCAAGATGATTATGGTGTAAGAATTGAGGTCAGTACCAATAATTTTATGTACCCAGGATTATAATTTTCTAAAGGACTATTTTGGACACAATTACTCTGTCTTCTTCTTGGTGAAAATTCATAAGCATAGCAAAAGGCAGAAGACCTGTCTCGGAGCAAGCCTGGAGTGGGCAAAGGGTTGTGTGTCAGATTGAACGGCCAGCTCTACATTGTCATTACACCACTGATGAAGACTGGGTGATGTTTTCTTCTGACAGGGTTCAAGTCTAGATGCTCAGGTATATGGAATCTGTTGCTGAGAGACAAAAGGCCTTAAACCTTTCTGATGTGCATCTGTAAAACTTTCTAGTAGGCTTCAGACATGGGTCCATGTGAACAAAGTTCAAAAAGGCCAAGTGCAAGGCTCTGCACATGGGACAGCACAAACACAGACTGGGTAGAGAATGGATTGAAAATACCCCTGGGGTGAAAGACTTGGGGATGAGAAGCTCAACATGATCTGGCAACATGCACTCACAGCCCAGAAAACCAACTGTATCCTGGGCTGCACCAAAAGCAGCGTGACCATCAGGTCATGGGAGGTGATTCCCTCTTTGCTTTGGTGAGGTCCCACCCAGAGTGCTGCATCCAGCTCTGGTGCCCCCAAAATAAGAAGGATGTGGACCAGCTGGAGAGAGTCCTCAGGAAGCTACAAAAATGATCAGACAGCTGGAGCACCTCTCCTATGAAAATAGCCTCAGAGAGTTGTGGTTGTTCAGCCTGGAAAAGAGAAGGGAGACTTTATAGCACCTTCCAGTACGCACAGGGGGCCAAACAAGAGAGCTGGAAAGGGATATTTACTAGGACATTTAGTGATAGGACACAGGGTATTGGCTTTAAACTGAGAAAGGATAGATTTAGATTAAGGGAAGAATTCTTTACAGTGAGGGTGGTGAGGCAGTGGAACACGTTGCCCAGAGAAGCTGCAGATGCCCTGTCCCTGGAAACGTTCAAGGTCAGGTTGGATAGAACTTTGAGAATCCTGGTCTAGTGGAAGGTGTTCCTGCCCAGGGCAGGGGCATTAGAACTAGATGATATTTAAGGTCCCTTTCAACCCAAATCTTTCTAACTCTATCATAGCATTCTGTCTGTATGACTATCTGAAATTCTGTGACCCACATGTTAAAAATGAAGAAAATAAGAAAAAAAAAGTGCTTAACAACTTCAGATGTAAAACTAACATTACCTATTCCCTAGTCTGGGAATTATCTTCCATATTCCCTAGAACTGACATTGTATATGTGTTCCAATTCACAATACTAATTTTTAATATAACTGGCTTTGAATTACCTCTAAATTGAATACTGAATGTCATCAATACTAATGAAATTCAACCCTTAGCTGCCTTCTTACCTGCAGCACCAGCATAACAAGCTCTGCACAACATCTTGTGAGCAAGATCAATTAAAAAACATTATTCCTTTATGCTTGGCTTTATCCCTATTCTAATCAAGTACTTATTAAATTCCACGATGCTCACGCACAAATCCCAGTGACAAGTATATGTGAAGGAAGAGACTAAAGGCAGCAGCAGAGCCTTCCCCTAGGGATGAAGAGCTCATTTGCACAGATGTGCTAACAGGGGCTGCCATCTGGTGGCTAAACAAACTTTGACAGACACTTTTCGTCATGTGGGAGGAAATGTGTCGGTTTGTTGGCTTCCTGGAACACAGTGCAAGGAGCAGAGCGAGCCCCGACATACAGTGCAGGTGATATGCTTTAGCTTTCCCTAGGAAAATGGCAGAGGAACAAATAAGTGTACCTTGCTACAGAAATAAGCAGCTCCACCCACATTTCAGCCCCAGTCTCCTTTGGAGAGACTGTTCAATATGGTCAGCTCAAACACAGGCTTACCTTGTACAAATCCCCTTCCACGACTCCGCTCTCTCATTTATTAAAGGGAATCAGACATTAGGTCTGTATCACAAACAAAAGAGTAAGTCCACCCATCCAAAGTGTCAGTGTGATTTTTTGGTTTTAGCTACAATTTTACCTCAGTTCTGAGTGGAAACAAACAACCACCCTGACTGATATTAATTCTGAATCCGAATAAAAGTATAACTCGCTGAGGAATTAGCTTCCACAGCACTACTATGAAAAGGTTCAACATTGGTTCCTGCAGCCTAGTTTTGCAAAGTTGTTTTTTTTAATTATTTTTCTTGGTGAAGACAGTTACACATCTTGTAGATGTTCATCAAATGATATTTCCCACACCAAAGGTCCTTCACAAAGACAATCCCTATATTCTCCTATTAAAATAGGATGCTTTTACACTTTGCTGTGATTTTAAACAGAGTTTAAAACATTTTATATCATTTTAGACCATCCCACATAAAAAAACCAGTGGACTAAGGGTCTCCAAAGTCCTGTCAAGTGATCCCTGGCTCTTACTTACTGTAGAATAGTCCAGCTTCATTTTATCCAAAAGAAATGGAGTGGGAAGGGATGTAACCACGGCAGGAAGAAAGATAAAGAGTAGACAAGACAGCATTACACACTGGACCTGTATCCCATTCCCTCCTGTGACAAACTAAAAATATGTATGTAGTTTGCAAATGATCAAACATAACTAGATCTTTTTGTTTTAAATTTTTGGTGTGCCTTTTTTTGTTGTTTTTGGTTTTGGTTTGGTTTTTTTGTTTGGTTTAAAGGAGAAAAGCAAAGAGGAAGTTCAGAGTGTCGTGGAAGCCTAATAAGGCCATAGAATTCATGTCTATATACAGAGAAGGAATGAACAGATTTACACTCCTGATAGCCCTAGCATTTTTACCTTTCACAAGAATAAGGCAGCAACCACTCTATTCTTCCTCTGCACATCAGAATAAAACTAAAATAACTGGATCACCTGTCTAGAATATAGCCTTGATATGTATATGCCCAATGAAATAGGAATTAAAAAAAAATTAGGTGGATTTCCTTGAATGCCTGACAATGTTGCAGCAGAAAGTGCATTTGAGTAATGACCCAAAAATGTGTTTAGCCTATTTTCACTTCATGCAAATGCTATTTTTTTGTCTCACCCTTGGGAAGTTTACAGTAAGTAGTAAATCTTATCACATCACCACCTAGTCAACATAATCTATACTCCTCTGTTCCCTCAAAATATACTTTACTGCTTCAAAGAAATCCAAAAAGGCAAGTGCATGGCCCTTAAGAGGACTGCAGGAACATATTAACTTAATATGTGCAAGTTTATGTCAAAATATTGCCACTACTGGCTATAACTGGGCAGTTCACGAGTGCTCTGGTGCCACCAAAAGGTTTCAGTAAAGCTCCTGGAATACAGATTCAGGATGAGGGTGCAGTAACAAATAGACATCAGTCATTTCATGAAGATTTTAAATCAGAACAGCATATATTTTATCTTTTAAATAAAAAATGGCTTTGGTTTCCTAGTCAAGAGGGACAATAAAGCAGACTTGTCTTCACAAAGAGCATGATGCTAATCAAGTCAGTCTGTAGCACACACATCTATCTCTTGACCACCTTTAAGTTACCTTTAAAAAAGCAGCCTCCATGACTAAGTAGTTAATAAAAAGTTGTCCTGGAGAAAAACGCAGATGCTTTTCAACAGAGTATTAGAAGTTCTTGTAGTTTATGAAGCAGCTTTTTTCCCATTCTTCCAAGCAATGCATCTGATCCCATTGTCATTGGTGATGCTTTGTCTGACTGAAATCGATGGTTAACAAGGTTGGTTCACCACAAAGTTCAGCAGCAACACAGTCTAACTTTTCATCACACAGGTGGAAAAACTCTCAAAGTAAGTGAAAAATTTCTTAAAATACTCATGCAATTTCCATCAGACTGACACATATCACCCAATTAACAACCTTTTTTTTTCAAGAATAATAAATAAATTTAAAAATTGAAGTCCTTGAGTTAGAAACAAAGACATAATTTGGCTTCTCTTGTCTGTTCTGCTCTTCAATAACAGTCACAAAATCCTTAGACTCATGATATATTTATAAGACTCAAAACAGCCAACTGGTGGCTTCACAGGAACAAATAAGATTCCCATTCATTTAATTAATTAACATCCAGCACCACACCTATTATAGTCTCTAGTAAGCATCTCTGCATAGCTATGAATATCTAAATACTTTTTGAAAACTACACCAAGGTTCTCAGGAGTGTGTAGAAAGACATTCAGAATAGAATCATATAGAGATTATCCAAGTCCCACAGCCAGGAACACAAGTCACTAAATAGCTACAGCCAAATTCCCTTTGCTCAGATGGCCTTCAGCAGTTTGCATCCCTCAGCCTGATTCAAGTCCTTGTAACAGAGCTCACATTACAATATATTAAATAACTGCCAGGCAACTGAATACAATGGAGGTCACATAAGGAACAGAGTAGTCAAATAATGTAGTTTTCTGTCAATGGAGTATTTTCCCATGAATTACAAAGTTTTGGTACAGCAGGGTAAATTTTTAATAGTACACTAACTACAGAAAGCTCTCATTTCCAATAGCATTGTCAAAACACATCTTAAAGATGATTTAAGCTTTAGGTTTGCATAATTTGTTTGGTTTTTTTAAAACAATGCCTGCAGCACTTTCATTTGGGGGATTACTTCAACAGCCTATTCTTGTGTGGCTGACTTGTAATGTTTCAATGTGCGTGCAGAAGGATCAGTAGCTTTAACCCATCTTGGCATCCAGTAGTGGGGCAGCCAGCTGCTTCGCCCTGGGTAGTGCTTTTCAAAGATCTGGCGATAGTAGTAACTTTCTTTTGTTTTAGGAGGATTGAAAGGATATTTCTCCGCTGCCTTTTCCAGTAAAAGGTCATCAACCTACAGACACAAGCAAAATTCAAGTTAAAATGCAAATACATTTAACTTTTAAAGACACACAAGAATCCACCAACCACTAAATGCCCCCAGGTTTACAAAAAAAAAAAAAAATTCTATTCCAGAGGTAGAGGTTTGACAGGTCAAACCTTTGTCATACACTCCCTTGATCTTTATGAATATATAAGTCTATTTCCAGTGCTATTGATATTTCTATCTGCGTGACACATGAAGCCCATTTGTCTGGGTTACAACCACCTTTGTTAGTAAACTCATAAAAACTTCTTCCTACCCTTTCCTTTGCTGTGAAACAAGTGGAGAATCTTAAAGCAGTCACCTTGCCACGTAAGAGGCTGCCTAGGGTTTTTTTTCAACTTGGAGAACTGTTGACTCTGTATAACTAAGTTCTTAGAAACAAAAGACCTGTGATGTAGAGGCAAAGACACCTGCAGTTGCTAAGCTGGCTCTGAAAGGGAGCATGAATAGTTGCACCAGTTGAGGCAATTTCTAAAGCAACTTCCATTGCCAACAGGCTGTCTAACTTTTCACAGCCATGAAATAAATTTGCTCCTCCTACAACAGTACAGGCAGCACAACACTTGCCTGACCCAACTACTTTCTTGCTGATGGATATAGAGAAAGAAAATGGTATGGTGATAGGGCAGACAAGCACCCATCCACAGGCTTGATTACACATATTTCTGTGTAACAGAGCTTTGGTGTAAATAGGGCGTTATTCCTTTCTCTTGGGGATTAAACTACCCCTGTACTCCAGAGAGGATTACACTTTGTCCAGAGCCAAAATGCCCTAGAGTCTTCACATGTTAGCAATGCAAGCAGAGGCTTTAAAAAGCAAAATGGCTTAGCTAGGAACAGCTTTGAAAACCGAATGACGTAAATGAGAAAGTACATTATAAAGTCATTATGTTGTTACTCAGCAGCAGAGTAAGTTCATGCAAGTGCCATCAGCTGAAGCAGCTGCTTTGCCTGTAACCCAGAAATGGTGTTTGTCAACACACAATATGATTTGCAATGCAGACATTTAAATGATGTTCATTTCCTTACACAACCATTTCTGTTAGGCTCTCGCATTTCTTTGTACATAGCATTACAAATGCCTTTAACCAACTCAGATACCTAGAAGAGCATTGACTAAGGTTTATCTTGCTCCTTCACGTGAACTGGTATATACCCAGATTTATTCTGTCAACTAAGCATGTGAGCTGCCTCCCCTTGGCAACCATAACTAATACACTTAAGTGAGAAAGACCAAAAAAGAGTGGAATTGTACCTGTTGATCAATATAGTCCTGAAGAATAGAAAACCAGGATTTCTTTACTGATGCTATACCATCACTAAAAGCTTCTTTGGGTCTCCAGAGAATTTCTTTGGGAAGTAAATTGGAATCTTCAAAGGACAATCTTAAAAGGTATTTTTCAATTCCATTCTGTTTGCAGAACAAAACATGATGATGTCATGAGTCTCAGGAAGTGCAAAAATCTGGATTTAAACACTTATGAAACATTTCCTTTCAGAAGGTCTAGTCAGAAAAGGGTTCCAAGTAGTATAACAATCCAGCAAAATATTTAAGAGCATGCTTGACTTTGGGTAGAGCACTTAACCACTGAATTCAGCAATTTGGTCATGCTTAGAACACATATCAGTAAATTTGTACACTTACACTTGGGTCCAACCCTAGTTTTACATACCTTTGGAATTCGCAATTCTGCTGGTAGAGATAAATAATAAGAAGTAAAACGATGATCCAAAAATGGGACTCTCAGTTCAAGGCTAAACAGGGGGAATAAACAGAAAAGATACTGAACTAATCCCATAAGTCATCTACTTACAAATTCTATGACAGTCAAGCTTTTCCTGTCTTTCACATAACACCAGGTTTTCTGCTTTTACTTAGAAGAAATTTTTCTTGCGTAATTATGACTATCTGCATTTAATTCACCAATTTGGAAAGTTAAGTGTATGGCCCACGCAGATTAAAGACCATGATGATTTACAATGTCATACGCTGGGCAGCTTCTAGTACCCTGAATTTAAAGACTACAGTGCTGTAGGATTTGCAACAACCATTACGATATCTATGCAAAAAGGCATTAAAAAAATCCTCTTGCTCCCAGAGAACTAACAAGTCACTTAGATGTCAGTCACACATATTGTATCCTACTACCTCTTTATTATAGTCAGCTACCTGACTATACACACACTTTTCTCTTTTCAGTATGTTGTTTTAGTTCTTTATATGCATGCTGATAATCAGATTCAATATTCCTCTTAGTCTAAACCTCAAAAAACCCCAACGTCAAATACAACTTTGCTTTCCCTCCTCAACTCTGAATATTGGTATTTCTAATTCACTGCTTCTGTAAAGAACAGTACAGTCCCAGACAAAAAATATTTCCTGCATTGGTCGGCAAGAGTGAGCCCTATGGTCACAGACCAGACTAAATTTTACAGTGTGCTTTGCTGTTGTTGAAATTCCTTCAGGTTACATCTTAAATTTCACCTTGGTATACAAATTGTCAACAGTCTTTTCCTGCTACTCTAAGAATCAAAAGCTACTCTAAGCACATGCAATTAACTGAGAGGTACTGTAAGCAGTTGCAATTAGATTCAGTTTTATTCCTCCTCTACTTGCTCATCCAACAAAACTTTCTTTCATAAAACGTTGTCTGTGGCAATTGCAATAGCAAGTTTGTCTCACAGTGTTTAGAACAGAAATGTGACTGATAATTCCTCTGAAGACCAGATTTGCCTGCCCTCATATGCTGTGCTTCCTACCCTACAGGGACCCTGAGTGCCTGTGCGTACCTGGAACATTAGCAACGCCTGTCCTGCCAAAGTGGGTCATGTCTTCAGTTACATTAAGATACATCGCTTAATTACATTAAGATACATCGCTCAAGCAGAACATGGGGCGTGCCCCATTTGTTACTAGTATTCAGAAGACTGATGACAACCTTAGATTAGCTCAGACCTAGAGAGCAGGAGTAAAATTATCCTGCAGCACAATATTCTGAATCCTTAGTTATTCAGCCAACAGTTAACTGTTGTAATTTCCTCAGCGGCAGCAGAACTTTTAAGATCTTCTTGTGCTGTTAAATCCCATGAGTTCTCACCATCCAAGAGAGTATGTTTTACCCGTGTGCTGCAGTAGTTCTGTCTGCACGAAGTACATCAAACAGGTAGAGCTCCTTCAGAAGCCTCTCGCTCTCCTCTGCAGCTTCCTCGGGAGACGGTGCCTGAAACCAAACATATGCATGGAGCACACAGCTGGAAGACAGCTGCACTGAGGGAGCCATTGCTTGCTGTCCTGCATTTGGAGTGATCACAGAGTGATCTTAGAACTAGTAAAAACTACATACAAGAAGTAACAGTCTCAGGAATTGCTGAAGATTAAAAAAGTTACTTTTCAGGTGATCAAATCCCTTGGATTTTAAGCCAGCAAATATACAGTTGTGACAACTCTCAAACATCACACCTTGAAACCTCAGAGATGTTCTGCTGAACAAGAGAACAAGCAGCTCAAGGGCTTTCTGTATAGTGAATATATTTACCTTATGGAAATATATATATCCTTGTGTCAGCTCATCTGATCCTTCTCCTGAAAAAATTACCACGCTGTCTGTTTTCTTCCGAATATATTTGGAGACAAGATACATACCTTAAAAAGAAAGTATATTAAAGTACAGCTACATGTATGATGCTATACACAGCTAATAGTTTCAAATTTAGCGTTTTAGAAGTTTGTCTCCTACACTACTTTCTTCTGTAGCAAACTAATGATGTAAAATAAAATCTTGCTACTCAAAGTCATCATCAGCCATGCTAAGTGCTGCAGATAAATCTAAACTGTGTATTTACACTTAGCAAATATCAGAAAGATGTGCCTATTTGTGATCCTGGGAATGCTGAAGGATTCCATGGGAACACACAGAGGAGCTGTTTTGACTCACTTTGAAATTAAGCACGTGATTAATTCCAGTAGAGTGCTGAACAAACCCTTTAGCCTTAGGGAACAAAGCTACCAGCAAAAGTTGCTGTTTAAGTCTCTGCCACTGTGGGTTGAACTGGATAAAGCCCTTTTTAAAAAACTTTCATAAAGAATTATTTATTAAATAGAATTATTTCTTCGCCTCAATGCATCTTTCTGAACAATATGCTTTTATAACTAAAATATTACAAATCTAATGAAAAGGATCTAGTTCATTATTTCTCATACTATGCAGCAAATCACAAAGAAAAAATTACAAATAAAAAGTTGGGTTTAATTTTTAAAGAATTGCATTCAATATTTCACATTCCACAAATTCAGTATTTCATAAATCCTATCTTGGAGTAAATTCCACACAGGGAGCTCAGTTTTGAAAATTGTTGACTATTTGGCTTCATAACACTTTACAACATTTTAGGATGACACAAGATTAACTGGGTTAAATGTTGTAGCTTGCATGTTGTAGAATTGCATTCGATTAGTGTTTTGCACTCTAATCAGGCTGCCAATGCTTTGTAAAAAGTTGCTGATAACTTCCTTCACTTCTCAGAATCAAACATACATTATAAGAATCTGTGTTACTAAAGGGTGACAAGAAGTACTTCCCATTAGGTTAAAAATCATGCAAGGAAAGGGTAATCATAACTGTTCTGCTAACATTCAGTATCTCAGATAACTTATAAATTTCTCCCCTTTCTCCAAGGTTATTACTCATCAGAGCAGAAAACCTAATGTTTCTTCTTGTTCTTCATCTCAAAACTTCAGGAACAGTTTTTTGACAGTTGTTTTTTGCAGTCAGGGACTGCAAAACTAGTAACTGCTTTTGCCTCTGTGTGGCATCACAGATCAGACTGGGAAGCAGAACTTCAGTCACAGTTCCCAGGTTCTGTGTCAGCTAAGGAATCCAGTAGATGACCACATGGTTTTGCATAAAATTTTATGTGGGTGAAATAAACCAAAGATTACCATTAAAAAAATCTTACCAATTGAAGCTCTTATAGTTGTTATATCATAGGTTTCCAACGAGAAGATAACCTCTTCTATTGCCTGAATTCCCTCTTCAGTATTAAGTATTACTTCATGATGTTCACTGCCTATATGTGCTGCCACCTGTTTGTAAAAGGTTACAATAATGTATCCCTTTTCAACTAAAACATTTTATAAATATGCACTGTGTTTAAAACACACAAATTAAGCAAAAGCATCAGCTCCCTTCTGCTACAGTGACAATTATGACATTAGGCCAAGAAAAGATGTTACTTAGCAGCCACTCTGACTTGCAGTGGTACATTCAGCAGAGAGAACACAGTCTCCCTGATTACAGTGTTCAATCATGATTGCAACAGACCATCCAGATGCTTGCCAAAAACATAACCAAATCTGTAGAGGCTCTAAATACTCCAGATATTTGCTCTTAACAGAAAAAGCAGCTCACAAGTCATGACAGCCTGCATACTTAAGGGGTACCCCAGATGCCAAAGTTTGTATAAATAACTTAATTCAGAAAAGTGATGATTAACTTGCAATATTAATATATATACAAATGCCATAGTATAGGAACCATAGCATGGAGATCTACTCTAAAACTCAGAGGCAGAACTGAGACAAGTCCAAAGTACTGTCCTTTTGGCAACAGCATGAAAGTCTTCTGATTTCAAGAAAAGACAGATAAGGTTCAGTTGTCTCTTTTGTAAGATTAAACAGCAAATGTTATACTAAATGATTTACTGCAAACTGATTTACATCCTAGCAATAAATGAATATTCAGTGTTACTATTAATGCCATACCATGAAGTTAGAACCATTAATACACAGCTTAAGATACCTTTCTGGCAGCCAGTAAATCAGGACTGTTTTCCATTCCAATTGCAAAGGTTTGTAACGGATAATTGATGTTGATTTCTTTCATCAGTTTCAGAAGAACAGCTGCAACCAAGCTGGAATCTAAGCCCCCTGCCAACAAAACAAATTATTTGATTAGGTGTTTGAATGATGTTTTATTTCCCCCTTAAGAACACTGAATCTAGATATTGGAATCTTTTGAGTGGACCTCATTTTTAAGCTGTGTGAATATAAGGTACTTCTCACACAAATGTACATTTACCTCTGTTTAACAAGAGAATCAGGTAACTTCAGTAGAATGTCTTTAGTAACAGTTGTTATGTGGTGTCAGAAGCATCAGTGGAGATCCCTCTTTAAGATAACCAGAAAGTATAGCTGAACACACTGCACCACTGGAGAAAATGGCCCTTCTCAACTCTACCAAAATTGGATTTATTCTTCATTTCAAAACTGCTCCCTAGCCTCTTCTTGCGTAAACATTTGACAGGCTACTGACAGGACTGTGGAGGTTTTTTGTTTGTTTGAATTAAAAAGAATTAAGTAAAAAATCAGAATGCTTAGTGTAAGCATTTCCCAATAATTCTTTTTTTCCTCCTCTTTCTAGAGGACAGTGAAAAGATTTGAACAGTTTGGAAAACAAGTAAAAAAATAAAACCAATACTCTAATACAATAAAGCCAATGCTCTAATACAATAAAACCAGTACTCTAAGGGTCCACCTTCTTATTCTCATGAGCTAATTCTGCTAATCCTTGACTAGTTCTACTTGCTACTCCCCTTTGAAGTACTGAGCAAAACACAGTACATGTTTGCCCACATCTGCCTGCAGTTCTGACAAGCGTGAAGCAAAACCCTCTTCTCTTTGCTTCCTACAGTCTGCACATGTTTTTTCAGCTGAGTGCATTAGCATCAATTCCCACTCTGATCCACTTTGTGGGCATGCTATCTTGTAAAAAAAAAAAATCCTGTAGAAATTACATGCAGACCCTGAGAAAAGCAGAGTACAGAAAACAAACTGAGTGCTTAGGATGTGGAAATCGGGAAAATCAAAACCTGAGTTTCCACTGTGAAGTTGCAGAACTCCCTCTGTGATTGGAAACAGAAGCAATTCTCTAACTGTGATGTGCCAAGCATACTCAAAACTGTGAAGCACTGAGATACTCTGGTATTATGCCAGCACAGGCACTTAGTTTTGCTATACAGCTTTCTTTCTGCATGTGCATCTGAGGAGCTGCTGACTGCCTTCTAATTTGGTATCTGAAATCTGGGGTTTAAACAGGCTTTTTACTGAAATTTAGATCTCCCAGCTGTCCGTATGTTCCTGTTTAATTTACCTCCTTCCTACTTTTTATGATGCTGTAGCAGGGAAATGGTCCAACAGTATCTCCTGGTCAGTTTTCTCTCATTCAGATGCACATTTAATAGGGTTCATGACTAAAGAGTGTCATTACTGATGTTCAGTGAATGCACGAACAGCACAAACTCCAAGTAAAAAGTGCTACACAAACACAGGAAATAAGGTGTCAGTTCCATGGCTACAGAGCTTTAGCTCTGTAAAGTACCTCTGTGACACTGAACCACCGGATCACAACAGTGATCAGCTAAGTCAGTGAACAACTTCCTGTACCACATGCTATTACCTCATCTGCAAAAGAGTGCAGTAAATAATTTTGGTCCAGGTGGTCTCCTGTAATTTGGTAAATCAAGGGAGTTTAGGATGGAGACTATAGCAAAGGTGACAAGTAAGAATTTCAATTCCTCCTGCTAAATGAAACATGCCAAGCCTTTTTTTCTAGGCTCAATCTGTGCAAAGTGAACATAATAATTACATTTATCTTTTAGACACCAATGTAAGCATAAATCTCATGTATTTAAGAATATATTGAGTGATTTTTCAATAAGAATATATATATTTCCTCTTATTTAAAAATGGTGTCTCAACAAGCCAAGATCCCAGCCCAGAGTAAATTTTAAAAGCATAAGACTTTCAAGATACTTGTAAACTGGAGAACTTTATTCCAAACTAACAAGTTCTCTGTTGCCTGTTCTAAAAAGCAAATGAAGATAAAAAGCAAATGAAGATTCAGATCGCTTCACGTACATCACAGCTGAAGAGCCAATATACTTTCCTCTAACAAGCAGAGGATGGGCAAAAGAGAGAGAAGATACAAAATCACTGTGGTTCTTGTTACTTACCGGACAGAAGACAACCAATTCTTCTGTGAGCCATCAAACGTTTTCTAACAGCATTTTCAAATAGAATACGGATGTTGCTTTTCACCGTCTCAAGGTCAAAGCCTGCTCAAAAGCAAAAAGAGAAGGGGAAAAGTCCAAAAAGTGTTACTTAGACTTTAATGGATTATGCCAATTAGTAAACAAAGATATTTGTCTAAATCTCCACTTATAACAAAGGCATTCAAGTCCATCTTTGCACATGATGGCCTACAAGAACAATTCTAAAATCCCTACATTTTAAGAGTTCTTCCAAGTTTGTTCTTTTTTTTCTTAAATGGTACTTTTTTAAACCAATCAGTACAAATTTTATAGTCAAAGATTCTGATTTTTACACTTTTAGATCAGAATAAATAACAAAATCTTTGCTGTACTACCTGAAGGCAGAGCTTCCACTGTATCACACGCAACATGGAGCGGTTCATCTTTACAGCTATGAAATTTTACTAATTCCACTGATGCAACCTTGCCAGAGGGCTTTAAATCCAATACTTCATAATGACCCGGGAGAAACGGTTCCACTTTAGAACATAAGGATGTTGAATGCTTTAAGTTGATAAGTCCTACACATGAAATGGGAAAAAAGAAAAATGTCAACGTTTTTGACCTAGGATGGTGAAGTTATACCTCACACAACAGGCTCTGTACTAAAACTATATACAAATATTTTCTCCAGATCCTAAATCTGGTATTAAAAAATATCCTTTTGGGTCAGAGTCAGCCCTGGTTAGAGCATGACTCCGCTTTCTGGCATGATGCACACACAGGTTTGAGCTGTCTCAAGCTGAGGAAGACAGCAGAGCAAACAAACCATAAAGTTTTACTAATTGGCAAGTAGAAATTTATCCCTGTGAGCATTACGATCACTTTTCTAACTGACTACATGATGTCCAGGTCAAGGTGTAATACGTTTATGAGAATTCAAATGACAATTATGAACTGATTTTGCATTTAAAATTAAGTGTAGTCAAGCTAACAAGGGGGTTGAAATAAATCAGCATCACTGAAGTGATAACTTGACACTGATTTAGTGATTTCATAATTCATTGGTTCCAGACTGATCTACTCCACTGCTATCAAACACCAAGATTCAAACCTTATCTACATTCCTCTTGTGAAAGGGACCTGCTGGTGACCTGGATGCCCCTTGAGGAAGTCCTCGAAAGAGACACTGAATTGCTGTTAGAGAGGGACTGATAATTCACTATGATGGTTATAGGACACAGTCTCCAGAACATTCACTTCCCTTCTTTCTTCACAAGAAGCAGAGATGGTACAGCTCTTAGTACTAGTATATAATACTACTATTAGAGGAGTCAACCTACACTGCAGTCTGATAATAAAATAGATACACAGTAAATGGGAGAGACACAAGCAATCCTGAAAGTAAATTTTAGCCAAAGTGCATTTTAGGCAATGAACTCCCTTTTGACACTGTTCAGATTTGTTTATGAAAGTGCCAAGATTATTTTAAAAAAGAGAGCAGTGGATGTGTCCTCTCAAGGGAAAAAACTGACACCAAGTAAAGTAAGTTATACTGGAAAATTACCCAATGCTGCAGGTAATTTCAGTAAGGTTTCAAAATTATGGCTTTTACAGATTAGCAGTTCTTGTGGCATTATTTCACAGTTCATTATAGAACACCAGGAACAAAGTCGAATACATTTTACTGTAGCATAAATCTAGTGTAACTATATAGACTGCATTTAACTTTGGGGTAACATAAAAAAAAGTCTTGATTTCAATACTGCTATGATTCACAGAATTCTAAAATTAAATAAACAAATTATTTTAGAGATATTAAGGACAATTAAACATCTTGGAGGTTTTTGTTTTAATGATGTGTAGTTCTTATACTACTAAATATAGTTCATATATTACTGAACATACAGTTCATTTTCTCTTCACACTTAGAAAAAAAGCCTGACAAAGAAGTTTGTCTCCAATACCAATACCTAAGATTATTTAGGCACTAAGCACAACTAGTTTTACCTTTTGCCTCAGAACAGACACCCAAAAATCCATCATCAGTCAGCACCTTAAACAGTGGTCTGACTCCATAGGTATCTCTCGCCAGAAACACTTTTCTGTTTGCAGTGTCCAGAAGGATAAAAGCAAATACACCATCTAGCATGGACGCCGTTTGTTCTATTCCTCCTCTGTTGTAAAGATGAAGGATAACCTCACCATCCACTAATGTTTGATATTCAAATCCAAACTGCTTCTGCAGCTAAGAAAAAAGATAAAGAAAAACACGAATAAGCATTTGCAAACACTGACTGCTTACTAACTGAAAAAGTAACACCATTCATGTAATTGTTTAATAAGAAAACTAATTTTTGTGTAAAATCACACTTTAAAAAGTTATACAAGTATTTCCACCAAAGAAGGAAATTATACTTTGGTGTTCCAAGTTGTATTGGGTTTGCATGGCCAGGTTTTGGTAGCAGGGGAGCTACAGGGGACGGCTTCTGTGAGAAGCTGCCAGAAGCTTAACCCATGTCCAGCAGAGACAATGCCAGCCAGGTCCATGACGCACCCACCGCTGGCCAAGGCTGAGCCAGTCAGGAATGATGGTAATGCCTCTGTGACAATGTATTTAAGAAGAAATAAAAAAGTTATTGTGCAGATGAAATTGTGGCCAGGGAAGAGTGGAGTGAGAATATGTGAGAGGAACAATTCTGCAGACACCAAGGTCAGTGAACGAGGGGGAGGAGGTGCTCCAGGTGCCAGAGCTGAGGTTCCCCTGCAGGCCACGGTGCAGCCCATGGTGAAGCAGCTGTGCCCCTGAAGCCCAAGGACATCCAGAGGAGCGCAGAGATCCACCTGCAGCCCACGGAGGAGACCCACGCCAGAGCAGGTGGACACCTGAAAGAGGTTGTGACTCCACAGGAGGCCCATGATGGAGCAGCATCCTGGCAGGGACCTGCTGACCTGCAGAAAGGGGAGCCCATGCTGGAACAGGTTTCCTGGTAGAACTTGGGGCCCTGTGGGGGACCAGTGCTGGAGCAGCCTGTGCCTGAAGGAATGCACCCTCGTGGAAAAATGACCTGTGCTAGAGCAGTTCGTGGAGAAGTGCTGCTGTGGGATGGATTCACACTGGAGAATTTCATGGAGGACTGTCTACCATGCAAGCAACCCCATGCTGGAGCAGGGAAAGGAATCTTCTCCTTGAGCAGCTGCAGGAACTGTGATGAACTGACCATAACCTCCACTCCCCATCTCCCTACATCATAGGAGGAGAGGAGGTACAGCTTGAGAAGGAGATAGGGGTGAGGGGAAGGTTTCTTTTCTAAGACTTATTTTACTTCTCATTATCCTGCTCTGATTTTGTTGGCAATAAATTCAATTAATATCCCCAAGCTGAGTCTGTTTTGACAGTAATTGGTGAGTGATCTCTCCCAGTCCTTATCTCAACTCGTGAACCTTTCACTATATTTTCTCTTCCCTGTCCACTTGTGAGGGTGAGTGATAGATTGGCTTCGGTGGATGCCTGGCATCCAGTGAGGGTAAACCCACTACAAAAGTATTATCCAGGATGACCTCTTAGGCAATGAGACTGACTCTGCAGTCTTAAGCAATTGACATTATGGCAAGTTTTCAGGGATACAGTTCTATCTGAGGACGTGAAACTGCAAACCCATGAACCCAGTCTTCAGAAGCACCAGCCAGCCACTGTCTCAAAAAGAAAAAAAATACAACTCTAAACACACACACACTTGCAACATCTCTGCAGGGTCAAGTATTTCGGAAAGAAACTTTGGTTTACTTATGCAGTCACTGCAATTCCTCAGTGGTTTTTTTATGCACAGAGAATGTCCTTCTGCCTGATCTTCCTCCATTCCTCAAACCAGCCTTTTCACTCTGCCTGTGCAGATGGACTGGGGGAGGAAGAAATTAGTTGTCAGACTTAGGTCAGTCCAAATATTCTTCATGTTCTTGTGGTGCTACTCTAAAAGTCCTTTCAATACGTACAAGACAGAGAGAAAGAGAGATATAACACTATATATATATATATATAACACAATATAACACTAACAAGACAAGAAACCCCACAAAACCAATACTGTAGCATTTTAACTAAAGTTCTTTGGTTTTAATTGTTATTTATGGGGCAGTCTTAGGTCAAATTGAGTCAATATTAAAATAACTAAGTCATTGCCCTAAACAAGACACTTTTTTCTCCAATGATGCTTTTCTAGGATGCTTTCTGCCACAAGCTTGAAAGTAAAATCACATTATAAAAAAGAAGATGCATAATGTAGTGACAATGACCAAACAAATTCCTGCAGATGGCAATGCAAGTTTTGCATAATTAAGGTCTGTTTGAGACTGTGTGTAGCATGATTGAGAGTAAATCTTATTGCTTTCAACAGCAGAAAAGCCACAATGCAAAACATTGCAAGTATTACAGACTGTTGGTACAATACATTTCACATCTACTGCAGGGCAAAGTTTATCTCATCCTTCAAACAGCCAGATACTTGAAGACTGGGAAAAAAGATAAAATCTCCTGCCTATTCAGTCAAATTCCCAATGACCTGCATTTCTGTATTAAAACAGAATGACACTACTGATGTCACTGACATGACTAACAGGATCCTGATCACATTCAAAAAAAACTGTGATGTTAGAAATACCGTGACATCTCAGATTATTCATACATTTCTGATACTACCACACTTGGTACGTGATACACTTTACACGTTCATTCAGCATGATTCAGAATCGAGACACAATTTTAAGCTGCTTTATACATCAAATTTGGATTATCTGAATCATCTTCCCAAGTAACACAGGCAGCATGGACATCTCAGCATGGGGACTAAGGCCCACTGACAATGTTTAGTCCATCAGGGATATTCAGACACTTTAGGAAGTAAGTAGAGTTGCTGCTAGTTTTGTGGCTAAGAGACTTACTTAGGTGGCTCTTAACCCCACAAAGAATCTGACTTCTGCTGCAGACACCTAAGGACTTTAGTGGCATAGTGGAAACATCTCCTTAATGTTTATTGCATAAGCATGCATACTATACATTAATGTATTTTAAGTGACATATCCCACCTAGATTAATATGCAATAATGAAAATGCAATACCAAACAACTTGGAGTTTGACAACCCAAAATACTGAAGATCAAGACAGTCTAAAAGCGTTTGCATTATGAAGAGAAAAGGGGAGAAAGAAGTTTGAAGTTCCCCTACCCAAGAGATAAGGAAGAATGCATCTTTATTTAAAATTGATCAAACCTGAACATACAAATACTTATTGCCCTTCTTTTCAATTAAAAAGTGATTTTTCAGTATTAAAGACTAAGTATGTTACTAAGCCACAAGATTTCCAGCTCATCATTAGTCCTTTACCAACTTTAATTTTTATCTGATATTCTAGTCTACCATGTTTCAAAGATTTTCTGAATATCCACTAATTTTTAAATGAAAAAAAAAATAAAATAAAAAAACCCCAAAATAAAAAAAAAAGCAATGTCATCCATACAACGCTTACTTGTTTGAAATTGTAGATTTCTCCATTGTAACACAGCCACAGATATGGGAATTTCTTCACCCGGATAGGCTGCATACCATATAGCTGATCAACAACTGCAAGGCGGTGGAAACCAAAGCAACAGTTGGTGAAACCATTGACGTTCTCAAAACGAAATGCATCGGGACCTCTGTGTGCTATCTTCATGGCACTGAGGCACTGGACAGAAAGGCATTCATCGCTGCCAAACAGGGCCCAGATCCCGCACATCGTGAGGCTGTTGTTCTACGCGCAAGTGGAGAACCTGTTCAAAAAAGACATGGACATTATAAGCAAGAGCTGACAGTCTGTATTGAGTCTGCCTGACAGGGAGCTCATTTTCCCCTCAGTAGCCCTCACAGTGCTGTGTTTTGTACTGGTATCTAGAGGTGATGGCATCACACCAGGGTTTTGGCTACTGCTGAGCAGTGCTCCCACAGCATCAGTGCTCTCCAACATTCCTCCTCACCAGTAGGCTGGAGGCAGGCAAGATCTTGGAATCATAGGCAGGTAACATAGCCAGGAAAGCTGACACATGGTCCAAAGGGATAATCCTTTTCATATGATGTCTGCTCAGATAAAAAAAACTATGGAAAAGGAGAAGGAAGGGGGGTATTCGTTATTTATGACATTTATCACATTTCCTTCTAGAGCAACCACTTCAGCACCACATACTGAAGCCTTGCTTCCTAGGAAGTGGATAGATGTCGCTTGCTGACAGGAAGAACAAAATCTTTGGGGTTTTTCTTCTGTTTGTTTATGACTTTCATTTTTGCTTTAGTAAACTGCCTTTATCTCGACCCATGAGGTTGTGTTGGGCTTTTTTCATCATATTTTCTTCCCCCTCCCACCCCACCCTGCTGAAGAGAGGAGTGATAGAGTGGCTTGGTGAGCATCTGGCATCCAGCCAAGGTCAACCCACTACATACCTACAAAACACAGATGACAAATATAGGCTATTAATGGCTTAACTGCTGAGACGACTGATCAAGAGAATAGCAGACTTTACTAACTAAGTAAAACCTAGCTTGCCCACAGTGTGATAAGCAAACTTTGGACAGCAAGAAATTAGGTTTAATTTTTACCTTTAGATACAGCAAGGTTGTCTATGATTTTTTTTCATAGAGCACAAATAGAACAAATAATTACTGCGAATATAGTATTATCTCTTGAAGTAACATCGCCTCAGCAGATACATTAATGGTCCTTTCAGTTTCTTGCCTTTACACACAAAGGAGGGGTTATAACAAGGGTAGAGAGAGGATTTTTCGAGACCTTTAGTGATAGGATAAGGGGCAATGGTTTCAACCCAAAAGAGGATGAGTTTAGACTGGAGTTCCCCAGCCGCGTGGTAGGCCCAGATGGGAAAGATGTGAAGGGAGCAATTGTTGTTGCAGTGCCGTGCTTGCCCCGGCATGCCTTTTGCAGCCCTGGTGTCGCTGGAAATACACACAGGCCTCGTAGCTCTCAGAGTAACAGCAGAGGTCTCTGACAGTAGATGATGGGCTGCAGCTGGGCACCTCCAGATCAAGTGATGTTGCTGGAGATCTCAGCCCTCAGGGTTCAGGGAGCCACAAAACCTGCAGCTGCAGGGACTCTGGGGCTGCAAAAGGCGTGCCAATGCGAGCACTGCACTGCCACACTGCTCCCTCCACAACCTTCCCATACGAACAAGCGATGGCGCTGCGCACCTCAGCCCCAGCACATGGAGCTGGGTTCTCCCACCAGCTGGAGCGTCCTCCCGGGAGCGCACGGTCTCCGTGCGACCGCGGTTACCGAGGGCGGGTTCCCTCGGCGCACGCTGCTGCCCCGGGCTCCCTGGGCACGGCCACCCCTCCCTCCGGCGGCTGCCGCTCCCCGGGCCCGCCGCCCCCGCCCGCCGGGCCCCGCCGCCGCTCCCCTGCAGGCCGCTCCGTGCGGCTCCGCTCGGCCCCCGGCCGGCCCTGCCCGGTACAGCCCCACGGCCCGGAGCCTCACCCGCTCCGCTGCCTCACCCGCTCCGCTGCCTCACCCGCTCCGCTGCCTCACCCGCTGCCGGCCGCCGTCGCACGGAGACCCGCCGTCCGCGCCGCGCCAGGGGATGGAAGAGGCGGCTCCCGCCAGCTCCTCCCCCGCCGCCAGCTGCTGTTGAAACACGCCGCGAAGTTTCATCATGTGCCTCCCTGCCCTGCCCTTCCGCCTTTTTCCTGCCCGCAGGGCCGGCGAGGCGGAGGGAAGCACGGCCGGGGCCCGCACGCACATCATCTGCATCTGCATCCGCACGCGCATCTGTATCCGTATCCGCACGCACATCTGTATCCGTATCCGCACGCACATCTGTATCCGTGTCCACACCGCACCCGCATCCGCACTCGCACCCGCACAGCGGCCCTTCCCGGCGGCCCCGGCTCGGGCTGCCCCGCGGCAGAGCGGGAGCTCGACAGGCCGAGCTGTCCTGTCTCTGGCTCCTTCCCCGGAGCGCTGAGAAGAAAAGCGTGCACCAGCAGCGTTGCTGGGCGCACTGGGCATCGCTGGGCTCATGAGGGCGACCTGGAGCCATCAGAAATACTGTCTCTGCAGATCTTGTGTAGCTTCTGTGGTGTCCAGTGGAACACCTGTATTGCCTTAAAGCCACTTTATTTGGTTTGGGAGACGGAGTGCGTGCAAAGCAGACACCTCCGGAAGCGTTTGCTGAGGATGTATGATTTAGCTGTGCAAAACTCAGTTCTGAATCATAGACACGATGGGTAAAATGGGATTCTGAACTCCATTATTGGACAGTTTTGCCTGTTTGCCTTTGAGAGTGCTAAAGTAAATGAAATTCAGCTCTGAAGACTAGGATGCAAAGTGCTAAATACAGCCTCTAATTCTCCATGCATACTTCAAGAGAGCCATTAGTAATTTGCATGCAGTATGTTTTCATAGCTAGTTTTAATGGACTTAGTGTAAAACTGCAGTGCTGTGCATAAAGTTCTTCAGGTCATGCAGACTGCCAGCAGTAAGTGTGGTCTGTGTGTAGAATTTTAAAAGGACTTTTAAGAAGCCATTAAAAGGATATTTTTAGGCTTTATAAAGAAAAAGTGTTGAAGTATCCTGTGCATGAGAAGTAGAATCCAGTGCTAATCAGGAATAGATGTAGGATAGTTGTGTTCAGCAGAGCCTCACCTGAACACAGGACTGGCCTTGGTAGAGGCCATATGTGTAATTCTCAGAGCTGTGCACTGCCTGGAAGAGCAGTGCAATGGCACGTGGAGTCACTGTGCATAGAAGAGTAGTGGTTGTGCTGGAGAACACCTTATATCTTAGTGTTCTGATTTTTTTTCCCCATATATCTAAATGTCACTCTGCATTTTGAAAAGATACAAGAAATACTGGACAAATGTACTGTCCTAGGTTGTTTGGGGTGTTTGTATGTTTATTTGTTTGCCAGAGACTTTTGTAAATTGCTATTCTTTACATCTCCTTTTCTCTGCAAAGGAAAGATTTATGGATGGGTCAGATTAGGTTTAAGTTGTTGCCTGGGTATTTTCATTCAATGAGCAATTTGTAGTTCATAACTAGATCTCATACAGTGCTTTAAGACAGTAAGTCACAAAACATTTGCTAAAATAAAATATTTTCATGGAGAAACTGAAGCAGGGACAGTGAGAAGAAAGTGGCCCAGTAAGGCTGGGCAGGTACAGCCAGGGAAAGAGCAACACCTCCCAGGTCCTCATTAATGTCTGCATCATTAGGGCACATTGGGTAACAGTCACATATTTATCCTCCCTTTTACTTCCACTTCTAAAAACTGGGGATAGCTACATTTCACTATGCCTTACATGTTAAATTCCCTATTTTAATGGCGTCGGTGGTGTTATATATGAGACTAATGGTAGAAATACTGCATATAATCTGCTTTTAAACACTGGCAATGTTACTGTTTTGTAGTTACAATGGTGCAAGTAATAACTGGTATGTCCTTGGCCTTTTCTGGCCTCTTCTCTACTATTGTCAAGTAGCCCATTACAGTCTGTTTACATTGTGTTGTTTTTCAATATCCAGTCTTTTCTTTCAGCATATCTGCAGACAGCACTAGATGTAATTACACCCCAGTCTCACACCTCTGTGTTTCTCAAGTCACATGAGAAACCCTCTGGGTTTTTTCATTCCTGCAGACATTATTATGTGTAATAGCTTCACTGAAGCATTGTCTTCTCCAATCTACCCCTTTAAAGCTGATTTTTCCCTCCATTTTTGTTGAGAGGAATTTAAATTGATGCTAGATGGGTGGAGAGAACAGGTTTCAATGTAAATATTGGGTGCCATTAGTAGCCAGGATACTTTCCACTTTGTGATATCATTTGTTTAGTATCTGAGAGTAACCACTTGGCCACAGACTAAAGCCATTTAAGAGTGGTTGAAAAACCCTGTAAGAAAGTTACTGATTAATTAGTTAGAAAGTGCTTGCATTAGTTTTGTTTCTAATCAGCTGAAATGAAAGGCTAAGAGGTTTCTCTGCAAGCAACAGGTAAATGAGTAAATTCAAGGTCCATAATGTAGAAAAAATTGGTGCAGCCTCGTGACTTACACTGAGCTGGCCTCTGTCAGCTCAGTTCTCAGTTGAACATTGCTCATTAATGAATTGATGAAGTCTGTGCTCCTCATTTTTTCCCAGGTCATTATGATGGGCAGGACTGTAAACCATCAGAAATTCTATTGGTATGCAACAGCTTGGCCTTGTACCAGCCCTTTACATATAAATTCCTAGTAAGTAGCAATGGAACACAGGCATTCTGCACCCTATGAAATCATCTGTGTAGTCATGAACTGTTTAAGATGCTTCATCAACAACAATTTGAGGGATAATAAAGGTAGTGCTGAAACAATTTCTATTTTTGAAAAATAGAAATTCAAGATTGGGGTTGTGGGAAGGAGAAGGATGTATCTTGTCTACAATCTCAGGACTCCCTTTGCATCTAGAATCCAGTTTTAGCTTGGACCAACTACTTGGACCAGCTACTCTCCATCTAACCTTGAACACATCCTGAATTGCAATAGCAAGACTTGGTTTTCCTTCTCCAATCCTAACTTGTGTAATAATGGAGTTGTGGGAATAGGCAATTCCAAGTTTCCAGATACATCAAACTATACTTTTCGCAGCTCTCAGTGACTGAATGTTGATGGTGTGAGCTGGGCAAAGGTCACCAAGAATCCTATAGTTTCCCATCTGAATTTATTCCCTGATATGTTTGCTACACAACACTTTGCCACACACTGTTACAGGCCTAACTGAATGGCATGTGCTACTATTGCTTTGCTTGTAATTGTCAGCATCTACAATTTACTTTGGTGTTGAAGTCTCCGTACTTTTACTTTGTTTATTTACACCTGTTCCTGAATGCGCTGTAATAAGAATCTAATACCATTCTTGGTGCAGGGAGTTAGCGTACGGCTTCGTTTCCACCAGGAAAGAAAAATCATGACTTTAGACAGACATGAGCCAGCATTGTAGCAATAACAGAAAATGCAGTGAAAAATGCTCTTTCTGGAAGCAGCATGGTCTGTTTTCTACGACAGGGACTGAGCTTGAAAGCAGAAGGTTGTTTCTCTTAAAGGAGCCACACAGAAACATCCATACACCATGGCAGCATTTGCAGCCTATTATACACTGGGACAGATCAGTGGTGGGCAGGACTAAGGGAAAGGTGGAGATCAGTTCCTCCTCCCT